GGAGAAAAGTGGGGTGCAGAACTCAAATTCTAGTAAAAAGACCAGACTTAATGGTCTGAGTGAGACTAGAGGAACCCAAGAAAGCACAGCCCCTGGACTCTTTGTCAACCCAGAACTAAAACCATTCCCAAAGCCAACTCTTCAGAAAAAGATTGGACTGGACTGTGGGACATAAAATGATACTCGTAAAGAGTTGCTTCTTAGCTCAAGTAGATACATGAGACTACATTGGCAGCTCCTCTCCGGAGGTGAGATGAGAAGGTAGAGAGGGTCAGGAGCTGGTTGAATGGACATGGGAAATCAGGGGTGGAAAGGAGGAGTGTGCTATCCCAGCATAGGGAGAGCAACTAGGGTCACATAACAATGTATGTATACATTTTTGTATGAGAGACTAACTGGAATTGTAAACTTTCACTTGGAGTACAACAATAATATTTTTTAAAAAATATTAAAAAAAAAAAACCCCGTTTGTGTCGAGTCCATTCCGACTCATAGCTACCCTAAAGGACAGAGTAGGACTGCCCCCATAGGGTTTCCAAGGAGTGGCTAGTGGATTTGAACTGCTGCTAACCAAAAAGTTGGCTGTTTGGACCCACCCAGAGGCACCACAAAAAAAGAGGCCTGGCAATCTGCTTTCAAAAGGTCACAGCCGTGAAAACCCTATGGAGCACAGTTCTACTCTGCAACACATGGGGTCTCTATGAGTCGGAATCAACTTGAAGGCAACTGATTTGGGGTTGGTTTGTTTGTTTGCTTCTTAGGCCCACACAAAATTCCCCCGACTTGACTTTTAGAACTGGAAACATTTAGGTTATACTCATCTCTTTGTGCTTTAGAGGTACTGAGTGAAAATACTTCTTCTACCTGCTCTCCAGCATCAGACCCCTTCAGGTCTTTAACCATCTCCTTCCCTAATTACCTAGTCAGGGCTTATCTTTCCCCATCCTATGTCGTTCTTAGTTGCCATTGAGTCAGTTCCAACTCATAGAGACCTTACGTATTACAGAACAAAACCTTGCTCAGTCCTATACCATTTTAATGACCCTCCAAAACTACAATTTCACTGACCTTCCCACCTGGAGAATTCTGCATCTTCCCAGTTGCCCTCTCCTCTCAATCCTGGTCAGATTCTTTGTACCTCAGCTGTAGTAAAAAGGAGACTGAAGTTATATGAATACAAGGAAATTACCCAGTGATAATCCCTTTAAATCAGGAAAAAAAACATGCCCTTGACAACCCCTCCAGCTAATTTACTCTGAGCCTTTTTCTGAACAGCCCATTTGTTTGCGGATGTTTTGTATATGATGGTTTAAGATTACTCTATAATTTGTGCACTCAAATCTTATTTTATCAGAGGATTATCCTTATTAATTTATTTTTAAAATACACTTTGTACTTTTCAAAGCATTACAGATGACCTGCAAAAAACCATTTAAGAGCACAAAAACACAAGGGTAAAAAGAGAGAGACAGAGAACTTGATAATAAAATTTCCTAGAAGCAGTCCACCCCCTATAAAAATTTGAGGAAATCTAGCCTGGTAAAACATCCACAACATTGAATAGTATTTATTTGGTGTCATAGTTATCATTTCCTCCCTGTTCTCTGTTGTGAGTTCCTTGAGAACCAGAGATGTGTCTTAGTCAGCTTTTGTATTCACAGGACCTTGGTACAGTGCAGGATACAGGCTGGGTTTTCAATAAGTTTGTGAACTTCCACTTTATTTTTTTTTTAAGAGCTGTGCCTTATGTTTTCATTTAATATTTTAACATGTAATTTAAATATGCTAAAGTATCAGAACCAAGGCGCACTGGTGGCCCAACAGTTAAGTGCTTGGCTTCTAACCGAAAGGTTGGCGGTTCGAACCCACCCAGCAGCTCTGAGGAGGAAAGACCTGGTCATCTACTTCCGTAAAGATTAAAGCCAAGAAAACCCTATGGGGCAGTTTTACTCTGTCACATGGGGTCACTATGAGTTGAAATTGACTCAACAGCACCCAACAACAAACACAGGTTCTTAAAGTAAGGCAGACCTCAATCCCAGCTCTGCATTTAACTGACATTGGACAACTTACTTAACTTATCTGCACCTCAGTTTCCTAATCTTTAAAATGAAAAAAATTCTAGAACATAAAATATTAGAACTATTTTAAAACACAGTGGTTATCTTGCCTGTTACACAATTAAGATATTAGTTTATAAACAATTAAAGCATGACTCTTCCCATAGTAATTTGTATTTTTAACAGCTAGGTCAAAACTGCTCTTTCCTTTCTATATTCTCTGTCACTTGTGCTGTTTGAGAAAGTCATGAAATAATCCCTGCACCAGACTATTTTACCACACAGGTGAGAACATGATCTTCAAGCTGGCGTCATGCCTCCCCTCCCATTACCCTTGCCGCCATAACCCTTAACTCTTCTCAAGCAGGGACGTCACTCTGGCGCCTACTCAGAAAATAGTAATAAGGGAAGACTGAAACTTTGAGTCCCAAAGATTGTCATTCCCTCTTAAAGTATGGCTGACCACTGTATTGCATGGGAGAGAGGAACTTTTCTTAAAATTCTTTGTAAATAATCTAAAGCACATCTTTAAGAAACCTCACAAGCCTGAGCACCTTTATTAAATAATCACATAACAAACTGGAATTTTTGTTAACAGATTTGACTTATCTCATTAATTATATCACACACATATCACATATGAATTAGCAATTTAAAAAATTACTAACATAATAACAATCGGTATTTGTAACTTTTACCAAGCACAATTTATCTTAGAGCCTAATCAACATTGTTTACAAGATTCCAGATATGGGGGGTGGGGGGTGGGAATGTAATACCTTTCGTTATGTAGGTTACCTTTTGAAAATAGAAAATGTATATGAAGGTAAAAGCTGACTACATCTGTTATTTGTTATATTTATTATTTATAAACTCAAATATCACTAACATCTGTATTTTGCCAACTTTTTAATGAAATGTCATAATTCCTAATCCTTAATGATCTGTTTTAACTTTAATACATCTTAAAATACTTCTGATCTCCAAATTTTAATTAAAATATTTTTATTAAAAACAGCTATCAATTTTGTGCCCACCTTGGATGAATAATTTCCATGGCACAGATCTTTGTTTCTTTTCACTAATATCCCCTAAGCATCCAGAACAGTGCCTGGCACAAAAGAAGTACTAATTAAATATCTGCTGAATAAATAGCAATACTCTTTCTCATCTTGTTTCATAGTTATTTCATTATATTCACCACTGCAAAAAGAGCAGCCTATCGCTAAACTTCCCAATATAGATGGGCAATTTCTTGAGAAGATCTTATTCATTTTTGTAAAATAATGCAAGAAAAATAATGTAACAAAACACACAACATTCTCAGTAGTGAGCCAGAGTCTCAGCAACAAAACCACAGCTACATCCTGAAATTTAACAAGTTACCACAACTCTGAATGGAGAACAGGGGAAAGCAGGTAGAAACCCCAAGATAATCTTCCAACCAACCTCAGCCTAGCTTGTGCCCTTCTTAAATGGCATTCAGTCTAAGTACCTCAATGAGAAAAAAAAAAATGGAAAAGGTTTAAACTGGAGGTGAAAAGATGATTGAGGGATTGGAAAGTAGAGCCTATGAAGTTGAAAAGAACTTGGACAATTCAGTCAGAAAAAAAGCAAGAAAACTGAAGAGAAATTGTCAGAAACAGGGCTGGTTTAGCAAGAGATTCTCAGAGTCCTCAGAAACACTGCTGACTGAGGCAGCTGGAACTTTATATGCTGGGCAGCACAATGGATAATGTCCAAACGATGTAGTGAACTCAACTCCATGTGGTTGTTGTTGTTAGTTGCCATCAAATCGATTCCAACTCATGGTGAGCCCATGTATGCAGAGTAGAACTGCTCCACAGGGTTTTCAAGGCTGTGATCTTTGGGAAGCCGATCACTAGACTTGTCTCCAGACATGCCCCTCGGTGAGTTCAAACAGCCAATCTTTCAGCCAGCAGTCGAGTGCTTAACTGTTTGCACCACCCAGGAACTCTCCAACTGCATATAGCAGGCAAAATTTGTAATCAAGCAAGCAATGGTGTCATGGTTCTGGGTAAGCCAGTAATAATTATAATGAGAGAAGCTTACATCTATTGAACATTTTCCAAGTATTTTACATGTGTTATCTCATTTAATTCATACAATTCTGAGAGGCAGATACAATAATTTCCCTGTTTTACAGATGAAGAAACTAAGGTACAGAGTGGTTAGGTTGCTTTCCCAAGCTCGCCCAGCTAGGAAGTGCTCAATCCGGCTTCCAACTCAGGCAGTTTATGTCTAGAGCAGCACTCTTGGCCACCATAGGATGCGCCGCTTCACATGCTGTAGGGTCCAGTAATTGGTGGAGAGTATAGAGAGCAGACCACAGAGAGGGAAGGGTAAGAGGCAGGCGGTAAGTCAGAGTGCTGGCGAAGTAGACTAAGACTCAGGTAGGCTGCAGATCCAGTGACAAACCGGAATGTTAGGCTGGTAAACTGAGGTCAAAACCAGTATGTCAGGGGAAGGAGAGGGTCCAACAGAGAGGTCGCATAGCACTTTTGCCTGGCACATCAGATCCAATCTGTGTGTGGCAGGACTCAGGCCATGCCCAGAGAATGAAAAACTAAGGCCACCGATGTACTTCCAGGCCTGGGCTGGACTGTGGGAAGGGAAAGATTGAGCCTGGAGACTGGAGACTGGGAAGATGGGTGGACCAGGCATTGCTACCTCCATGCAACCCACAAGCCCAGGGCTCAGAAACTGAAGGTGACTTAAGAGCCTTCCATACCTCCAAATCCCAATAGAGACAGAGTGTAGTCCATGAACTTCATGACAGGTACAGCTAATTCAGTAAGGGCTAATGACAGAACTAAATCAGAGCCCTTCAAAGCCCTGTAAAATATTACATTTTTAGACAGGTTAGCAAACTATTACAGCTCAAAAGGTATCCCCTCTCACTCCAGGTAAATCATTCATTTGGAAAGGCTCAATTACTTAGGTCAAAGTCTGCTAGAATCACCTAGGAAGCTTTTAAAAAGTATTCCTGGGCCCACCCCAAATTTATATGAGCAGAATACCAGGTGATGGGGCAGAAGAAGTTGTATTTCTTTAAAGCATCTTGGATAACTCTGATGATCTATGTGACTCGTCTGCATGAATAAACACAAAAGGCTGGCTCAGGAGTCCATCGGTAGGGCTATTCCCTGAGAGCTGCATCCTTTTGCCAGCTCTGCCAGGGGCAATGCCACGGCCCTGATCAGCACACTAGTGTGGGGTTCTCACCTGTCATTTCCAACAGGTTCTTTAGGGATCTGCTAGACCCAACCAGGAAAAGTCCTTTACTACCTGTTCAGATGGTGGAGGCCACCCGGATTCAGACACTTCTGCTGCAGATGATAACGGGGTAGAGTCTTTAGTCAGGGTCTTCAAACAAGGGGACAGTCAACTATGGAAGTAGGAAACAGCTCGGCTCAGTGGTTATGAAATGGAAGCAACACTGCAGCTATTACATGGAGGCAGTAACTGAGAATTCCTCCTTCCTAAAGTTATGACAGTACTTCAACAGGAGTGATTAGGCCAATAGCTTGGTTCTGCTCCATCCCCTGGGTCTTGTAATATCATGGTCCTTTGTCGTTTTTGTGTTGCAAAGATTGAGACAGTAGAGGGCTCATTTGAAGTTCTGGGACTGGCTTCTATAAATAATAATAATGGTTAATATTCATCAGACTCTTAGAACTTAGGGGTTTTCCAAAATTGTTTACAAGCATTATTTAACTTAATGAGCAACTATAAATGCTTAAAATGACTTCAACAACAAAGGGGTCTGTCTTAGCTATCTAGTGCTGCTAGAACAGAAACATCACAAGTGGATGGCTTTAACAAAGAGAAATTTATTTTCTCACAGTCTAGGAGGCTAGAAATCCAAATTTAGAGGGCCAGCTCTAGTGGAAAGCTTACTCTCTCTGTTGGTTCTGGAGGAAGGTCTTTGTCATCAATCATCCTTTGGTCTAGGAGCTTCTCTGTGCAAGAACCTCAGGTCCAAAGGACAAGCTCTGCTCCTGGTGCTGCTTTCTTGGTGGTATGAGGTCCCCCATGTCTCTCTGCTCACTTCTCTCTTTTATATCTCAGAGAGATTGGCTTGACTTCTGGCAACATGGCGCTCTAGGCAGAAGCCCCACACCGTCCCTCCACAGCAAGGATCCGAAAAACTAAGCCACACAAAAAACAGCAAACCTGAAACCCTAAACATCAAATGAAGAGATAAAGAACTCAGCCAAGCACCAAATGGAGGGAGAAACTGACAGAGAACAGAGAGTGAGGAGAGATTCATGCAGAGGTCCCCTATCAGCTAACGTAGCGCGGATCTGCCATCTTGGACTCCTATCAGAGACCAGCAAATAGGGCGTACGAGAAAGCAGCTTCACGAAGCTTCCAGCAGGAGACAGAACCGGTAACTGGCAATATATGCTTTCCCACCCCCCACCCTTCTTCACCCCTACTCGGCCTCTTCTGCTTCCTGTGGCCACAGTCTCTCGGCCGGGAAGCACCAGTTGCTTGGATTCCAGCCACCCGCACTGGCCAAGTCCCTGAGTGCCATTTATGGCCTGCTGGTGTTGCTTTTTTCCGCTTCTTTTGATTTCTTCCTTACCTCTCACCACCTCCCCCTCTTTTCGCTCAAATACCTGGCTCCATGCACCATCTTTGCTTCTTCCCGAGGGGCTGCGGAGCTCCGTTCAAGTGTGGAACTGCTTCCCGGTCTGTGATGCAATGCTGGTGGGATCCAAGGGCTTTTTTGTTTGTTTCCTTGTTTTGAATTGTTTGTTTTCTTTTTCTTTTCTCGAGATGGGAGCCTGTTCTGGCTAGGCAGTGCTATGCAGCTTGGGACTTACCCCCTCAGCTTGCACAGACATGCAGAGGGATCCCTGAGAGCATTTCTTTTTGTGTGGGTTTTTTTTTTTTCTGTGTTTTGGGGGTTTTTTCTTGTTCCTTTTTTTTTAATTTGTTTTGTTTTGTTTTCCCTCTTTGTCCCTTTTTGTCTCTCTTCATTACACAGTTTCTCATCTCTCTATACCTTCCTTCTCTTCCTGTTCCCTGAATACCTGGCTCTGAATACTTCTATGCCTTCTAACCAGGCTGTACTTCAACACCTGGGAACAACTTCCCCAGACCTTGTAGCCACACTGGCGGGATAACTGGGAGATATGCTGTTCTTTTTTCTTTCCAATTTTTATTTATTCATTCTTTTCTTTTTTTTTTTCCTTCTTCCCCTTTTCGTTTTTCTCCATTTCATAGTCTCTCATCTCTCCACTCCAATGGCAAGCTCCTCTAGCACTCTTTTTTGTTTGTTTGTATGTTTTTGGCTCCTGATCCTCTCTCCTCTCTCCCATATCCATCTTAGCTCCACATATCACAATCTCCCCCCTCCATCCTGCCTACCTGCACCGTGCACTTAACATCACACCACCAAGCAGCACAGGCACGGCCTACTGGAACCTGCCCTACACTGATTACGACCTGCCCTGGTGGCTGTAGTAAGTGCCACAAACAACCCAACCCAGCAACTCCTCTTCAGCTAGACCTGCCCTGCTGTACCATATCTGAGTGACTGACCTGCCAACTGGAGAAGGAAGTGAAAAGTATCGTGCCCAGAGATGAGCAAACAACAAAAAACACGCAGCCCGCCTGCTCAGACATAGCCAAATTTAAAAAAAAGGATGAAACAAACAAACCTACAATCAATAAATGAGAAAAATAACTACTGAATGCCTCGAAGACAGCAGACAATATCAAAACATTTACAAAAACAGGTCAGGAAGGTTCCAGTAGGCATCCAAAATAAAACACTAGATCACTTTCCAGTGGAACAAAAGGTGCTGGAACTATCTGATTGGGAATTCAGATCTCTAATATTCAGAATTATCCAAGAGTTGAATCAAAAAGCAGACAAAAATGAGGAAAAAATAGACAAATTCATGGAAAAGGCAGACAAATTCATGGAAAATACAGACAAAAAAATGGAATAATTCAGGAAAATAATTCAGGAACAAAATGCCAAAATAAATTCATAACTAGAAATTATACAAAAACAACAATTAGAAATCCAAAAGATGAACAACAAGATTTCAGAAATGCACAGTGTCATAGATGGGCTGGGGAGCAGATTTGAAATGCTGGAAGACAGGATGAGCGGAATTGAGGACAAACACTTGGATACAACTCTGTTCGAGGAAAACACAGAAAAAAGAACAAAGAAAAATGAAGAGACCCTGAGAATTATGTGGGATACATTCAAAAGCAAAAATTTACGAGTGATTGGGGTTCCAGAACAAGGGGAGAAGACAGAAAACACAGAGACGATCATTGAAGAACTACTGACAGAAAATTTCCTCAATGTCATGAAATATGAAAAGCTGGCCATCCAAGAAGCTCAATGAACCCCATATGGGATAAACCCCAAAAGAAAATCACCAAGGCATA